TGACTGGTGGGGTCTGCAACATGCCCCTTCTGCTGGACCGAGTGGGGCAGGCTGAAGTAACAGGGGCGAGACGGCTCCTCAGATAACCTGGTCCTGTGCTATGGAGGGCTTTAAAGGTGATGACCAACACCTTGAACTGGACCTGGAAGCAAACTGGCAACCAATGCAGTTCACGCAACAGCGGTGTTATATATGCCCTCCTAGGGACTTTCAGAACTGTCCACACCGCCGCATTCTGCACCAGCTGTAGATTCCGGATACTCTTCAAGGGTAGCCCCATGTAGAGCGTGTTACAGTAATCCAACTGGGAGGTGACCAGGGCATGAGTGACTGTGCTGTAAATTGTATAAATTTACTTATTTATACAATTATTCATAGCCTCTCCATTTACCAACAGATTTAAGGCGGGTGTAGTGGGGTACAGAATAATCTTGAAGAAGGAAGAACATAAGAACTGTTAAGTAAATGACAACTCCATCCTGAGAAAGAAGAAGAAACTCCACCTTGATTCTGTTTAAGAAGAGACAGAACGATACTCTGGCAGGCTTTCAAGATTCTGTTATTATACCCTGTAAGAATAAAGTAGACGTCCAGTAATCCTTGCATTGTCTGTTCCATACCTGGCTTACCTTGAAGGGCTGACAGCAATTTATAGTACCAAACAATAAAAATACAATTAAAAACCATATACAGTCTAACTAACTAAGGCAGCCTAGGACCATCAGTGGCCAATACCATCAGAGCTGTGTGGAGTAAGTATGCTTTGAAGGTCCTCCTAAAAATTAGGGGATTGGGGAATTTTCCTTAACTCTGAAGGCAGGATGTTCCAAAGAGCAATATGAAGCACTGATAAGGTGTGTCATCTAAAATGTTAGACTAAGAGGAGCCTTAGCCTGATGCAGCAGGGCTGTTCTTATGCTATTATATTACAGTTAGTCCTCGCTTAACGACCATTTAATGACAGTTCAAAGTTACAATGGCCTTGGAAAAAGTGCTTTACAACCTGTACTTGCACTTACGATAATTGCAAACTGTCACACCACCCCCCATGGTCATTTGATCGTGATTTGCCATCTTTTTTACAACGGTTGTTAAGCAAATCACATGGTTGTTAAGCGAATTCTGGCAAAAAAGTCCATTGGGGAAGCTTAACAACCATGTGATTCTCTTAATGACCATCATAAAAATGGTCATAAAATTGGGTCTGGTCACATGGTGACTCACTTAACAATTGCCCTGCTTAACAACCAATTTTCCAGTCCCTATTGTGGTCCTTATGCGAGGACTACCTGTAAATAATCATGTATACATCAAATCTATTTTGCATGGAAACTGATATAGATCATTAACTAATTTAACAGCAGCTTCAGTGTAACATCTACTCTTACATTATATGTTCAGAGCTGACCAATTTTGATAGGCACCTGATCCGTAGACAAACCAAGTTGTATTGCTTTGTTTGAATGTAAATCTTTTGAGCTGGTGGACATATTTGGAATTTTGAGAACATGTTGTGGGCATTGCCAGGCAGAAAAGACTCATGTATCCTCTAGACACCCTCGACCACCCAGCTTACTTCATATTTCATCTGATCAACTGGGCATATTTTCAAACAAAGCATTGGACTTGGTTTGAACCTACCATTCCTATTTCATTAGAATGTCTCAGAATAGATTATGCCGGAGGCTAGTACTTTGCTTTACAGTGTGCTAGCTTCCCATTTAAATTATTAATTTTTAATCAAAAGAATCTTTAAAAAAAGTTGGTGGGATTAGCCTCAAGGGAGGCACCCATAGGCACATTGGTGCCACAGGATATTTTTGTGTGGCTGGCATCTTGTCTAAACTGTCCAAGGTCTTTTCCCATCATAAGTAGTCCTGTGCTGCCAAATGTTGTCACTTGGCTGCCCGGTGGTTCATTGCAAGGAAAATATTGGTTGGCTCACTGCAGCTCTTTAGATTACGCTGCCCATCTCTGGTTGATCAGGCTGTACAAAATCTATTTTTAGAATACCCTTTTAGCTTCATTCGCAGAAGAGAACCTTACATCCCTCAGTAAACATATCTGCAGTTATGCTACACCTATATAGGTACAATTGTGGACCCATCACAAGGAATAGGAGAATAAAAACTGTCAGTGTATATTTTCTTTACTAAAGAACAGCATAAGATGTTCTTGCTGGTATTGAGAGAAGCTCCTTTTGTGTCACAAATGTCCTCCATTGTTGTCCAGAAATAAATGCATTCACTGATACAAAGCACAACTGTAGTAAAAATATTAGCATGCAGATGCTCTGGTGTTTTGTTAATGCATTTAATTAAACACAATATCTTCGTTGTTCTTTTTCTTTCCCTCTTATAATGAATGTGCATTATGCTATAGAATTTGGTCCATGTTAACAAATAAAATTCTTTTATATTCTTTTCCTAGAATCTGCATACAGGTATTATTATCTTATTTTTATTTCAATCTCAGAGTCTTTGTAGAACAAAATTTATGCTGAATTACAAGGTATTAACATATCCATTGTAATTTTATATATTGGTAGTCAGCAAAAAAGCTGCTGAAATTAAGGAAAGTGGCAGAAATTTTATTAATGAACATGGCCTTTGGTTCCAAAGCCTTAATTGGAGCTGTCATGATAAAGAAAAACTCAATGCCATATTTCATGCAATTAAAATTGGCAACACATTACTGGGCAAAGTGTTGTACCTTAAATATGAGTGACAATCTGAATTTTTAAAAGGCCACTGCTATATTGATTGGATACTGTCACTACTGCAAATAGGGCTGCAGTCTGACAGTTCCAAACAAGGCATTCATTGTGAAATCACGAGGAAATGTTATATTGCACATTTAGAATATTAATATAATTTATTGGCCTAAACCAGGTTGAAAGAACTTGAAATGCTTTCTGCAATGATGAGGAATCTCATAAATAAGTTCATAAATCAGGCCATGTTACTTATTTATAATAAACTGAGAAGCACGTAAGACCTATCAGGAAAAAAAATGGAACATGGTTAAAAGCAACAGAATATACCTTATCATTATTTAAAGAAATGTAATGTATTTGTACCCTGTGTTAATACTGGTGGAAATTCACTTAAAAATGGAAGGGACACGGGGGAAAGGCAATATTGATGCATTTGAAGGTCACATCAGCAGAATCAGCATTTGGGGGATGGGGAGGAAGCTTTGTGGGGTTTTGTAAAAGTATAAAGCCTTGAAATAGAGAAATATATGGGATATTTAAATATGATTTGTCTTAAGTTTGAAATTATGAATCATTAGCAATTTCTGATAATAGTTTGCCTTAATCACTTAAGGAACTTTGCATTTCTAATACTGACTTCAGGTGAATAAATAGACACCAACTTGTGTGGTATATCGTGATATATCAGTTTTGATAGAATTAATATATATGCCTTCGGTTCAGTAAAAGGCAGATCTGTTGCAGTTGCATATAATCTATGGTTTTTGTGTGAAGCAGCTAACTCAAGGCAAGGGAAAGAAAGCAGCATTGTTCTAACATTCTGTTTTTCACAGGCCTGTATTCATATCTCATCCTTGTTGTTCGCAGGAGAGGCAGATGTGAACCAGAACAATGGGACCTCCACTAAGAGCAGAGCGGTGACAGACTCCAAGGGCACAGCAGATCCAAAGAATGCCTGGAAGGAGGCCAACCCAGCTGACACAACTGGTCGCCCCCATTTGGTCCGCCTCTTTTCCCGAGATGCCCCAGGCAGAGAAGACAACACCTTCAAAGATCGGCCCTCTGAATCAGATGAGCTGCAGACCATTCAGGAAGACACTGCAGCAGCTTCTGAGAACTCGGATTTGATGGCTTCACAGAAACGCTCCTCTTTCCGGCATGGTTCCAAACTTGCAACTGCAAGTACCATAGACCATGCTAGACATGGATCTCCACGAAGATACAGGGAACCAAGTCTACTTGATTCATTGGGCAGATTCTTTGGCGGTGACAAGCATTATCCGAGGCGGGGCAAGGTGAGCTCAGAGGAAAGGAGAACAGATTAGCCACAAGAAGTCTAAAAAGGAGGGTGGGAGAAAAATCACAAGAACTGAATAACCTCCAAAGAGCAAGAGTTGACTTAGCCAAAGGATGGTATCTATCAAGTTCTAATATGATATTTGGCTGTCAGTCCAATGTTTAGAATAGTGTACTAGAAAACATTCCTACAAAAAATATAATAGCAACCTTGAATTGACTAGAACATTCTCTTGTCCTTAATCTTCTAACTGGAATCCTCAGTTTTGGTGTCAGGGTTTGCCAGACGTTAGGATCTTTGTTGTTTATTTGTTATAAAACGCACACTGTATATACTGAGAAAGGTGTTAGTCTTCTGTTGATTTTTTTCTCTTCCCATTTTGCTTGCAGAGTTTCTGAAAACTTGGAGAGGAATCCTAGAATGTTTGCAGTTTGATATAATAGTTCTGTGATACCTTTCTATGCAGTGGATTTGATTTAACATGTGTTGGTTTAATGTCTGTTTTTTTGTTCTTATGGGCAATTCATGGCACTAGGCAGTGTTAGAAGACTAATGCAGAGCATTGTGAAATCCTGTTCAAGCCTAGTATTCTCTTTTTCATCATATACACCAAACAGTGGCAGTGTGGCAAAATTAGACCATGTCTGTATTAAGTATGTTTAACTGTACTTTTTGACTAACATCGTTTTGGAGGCTGACCATGAGAAATAACTTTTCATACTTTTGAGTGGGGATGGCAGGAGCAAATCTTGTGCCAATATATTTACAGTAGGAATGTGTATCTTCATGAGAATAAAGCGGAAGCAAAAGGAAGGTGCTGAGATATAAGGAAAACATGTGTTTCACCTGTTATTTTGTCTTTTAATATTTTATATCATTGCAATGTTTTTCTAAACCATTTCACTTCTGGCTCTTACTTCTAGTTACTATCTAAATTTCCTTCTGGTTGGGCAAATTCTTTGAAGTGTAGGTAATGGTGCTAGAGGGCCAGCAAAGCATAGAATACATCATTTGTATGGAAAAAGTTCCAGGTCCAACCAGTAAAATGTCCTGATCAGACTGGAAGGCGTTTCTTACCTACAGCCCAAATAAGCAACACCACTTACTGTGGACAGTGTTAGGTTAGCTATTGGCTCAGTGGTCTGAGGAGCAACATGGCAGGTTTTCATATTGTTGTAAGAAAAGCCATGTTTATCTGGCAGTCACGTGTTTTATTTCTTTTCTATATGTTTAGGCGAAAGTAACTTTTCTCTGCCAGTAGTGAAATGGATCTCTGTATATGTTCAACCATTCATTTCCTCAGTGTAGATTTTATCTATGGACAGCAGGTGTAAAATTCAATAGTGGTTTTATTGTTGTCGTTTTGCTTCTGTTTCAAATCTTTTTTGGGGGAAATGGGGAAGCCTTAAGACATTCCAATGCAACTCAGTTCTTAATACTTCAGCTGTGATCAGAGAGTATGAAACTTGTCACTCTAGTGAAGATACCTGTGATTACTTCTAGGAGTAATTGTTTATATCAGCCAGACTAGGAATTTGGGTGCTGCACTCTCTTTTTTTAATAGGATATTGAATTGCCTCACAGTGTAGCTCTTGGAAAAGGCTCTCACTGTATATATTGGGCAGCCTTGGGAGAGGAGACCAGCAAGAACAATCAACTGTGGTTAAAAATCCTCTCCTGAGATTCTTTTCCTGAGGAGTTCTGAAACTCTATGTATTATTACGGTGTTGCCTGGGCTGATTGATGGCTCCAGTTGTATAGATGGAAGTGTTTTAAGTGGCAAAACTGACAGATATTGCATGCCTGTAAAAACACTTAAGTATCATAGATGAAAAGAACATAATGATAACCAATCAGCTACAATTCTGAGACACCATCTTTCAGAAAGATTCATTTCAAGCATTTAGTGGTAGAGAATTAAATCTGTTTCAGGCTGTAGATGGCTCTGTATTGAGCAATAACCACACTGTTTACCTTATGCAGTGGGTTTGTATATAGACAAAAACAGTTTTGTATGATATATCATTGTTTTGCATGGTTGATTCATAGCTCACTGTTGTCAGTTTTCATTGCCTTCACTGGTACATCTCAATCGCCATAACCTAAAACTCAGTGCCTCAAGGACAAAAACTAAAAAGCTATAAACAGTCCCATATACTGACTAGCTAAAACAGAACATCTGCTTTTAAATGTTGGACTTTCAATGTTTGAGACAAAATCAGTAACAAATGGCTATGCCATTGTGCAACAACGTTACTCTCAGAAATAATAATGCTGGTAATGAAAACTTTTCCGAGGAATCCGTTCCAGGAGAAATTCGATACTGGAAGTTAATTCAATAAGTGCCACAAACGTTTGTTAATACTATATTGCATGTTTATGCTTTTAGGAAAACATAGAATTATTATCATCCTAGACTTTCTTGACCTCTGTGGGTGGCAGTAAGGGATTTCTATTTGTCCGTAACTATATCAGAATAGCTGAAAATACAGCTATACTTTCTGTCACTGCAGTTAAATGTGTCTAGTTTCTGTGTATAAATAGTTAACGCAAACAAGCAGTGTATATTTTAAAAGCATCTGGAAAACTAAATCTTGCTGACATTGTACTGCATCTTGTATTGCAAGGAGACATTTTCTAGGCAGCCTTACGAGGTAGTCCAGACAAGAAACACACCCAGGAGTACAAAGTCAATCTTTATTATAAGGTTACATTAACAATGCAAGTCTTAAAGTACATCTCCCCCACCCCCCTAAGGAGTGTCCCTTCTGAGACATTTGCCATGTCTCCATTCCTTCTGTGGGCTGAGCTGCCTCTTATCTGACCATTGCCTAGTCTGCAGTTCTGCCTTCTGTCTCCCAAGGTCATCCCCACATACCATTACGCTCACAGACCTGTCTTTCAATGAGACAAAACTAAAATTCTGAACATATTCCTCTGTAAACCTTCAGGTCCTATTTACATGAAAAATACTTTGGATATGTAAAGTTGTAAGACAAGAAGAGCTTCTAGAGCTACCAGAAATGTTCTCTAAACTCAGTTGGAAAGGATTCCCAGATCTCAATGTAAGGAAGGATGATGGTCAGAGGAATATACCAAACCTCTTCCCCAAGCAATGCTGTTCTAGTTTATGTGACTGATCTGCCCACATCAGTGAATGTTGGAATGCAACAAACACAATAACCCTTTTGTCCAGAGAAACTGCTGACATTCAGTGAAAGAGCATTATAAATTCTTTGTGGAGACACATTTTCTTATTAATATCCATGGATGAAAAAATACATGTGTGAATAATATTATCCTTTGTTTAAAGAGAGTAGGATGGAGGAAAGCCAGAAGAATACGTACTTTGTTTCTACCTCCTCTTCATCACTGCAGGATGCAGATTCTCTGCTACCTTGTTATTTAAGAAACATGAAAGAAAAGGGTGGTAGAATAATAAAAGGCACCAAAATGAATAAATAAGTACAGAACCCTCTGTGGCAGGACACAAATCTCCTATATATCATCTTAAACATGCATTGCGAGAGAGGGAAATCAAAGCTAATTGAGAACAAATCTGAAGTTTCAAACTGTTGATCTGATTTTCAAATAACCAAAGTATGACTCTTAAGTTGGCCCCAAATCTCCTCTGTGCCATTATTTTTAGTAAAAATCAAGCAACTGCAACCTTAACAACCACATTCTCAAAGAAGCTCTGTGATACAATATAGGTAACACAACCGAATTTTATAGAGTGGCAAAGGATAGGCACTTCCCCAAGGGTGCTTTCCAGCCCGGTTGCATTAAGAAAGAGTAGGCTGCCCAAGTTGGCTATTTGTATCTTGAGGCTTTACTGGGTGGCAACGTCCAATCAAATTGTTTAGACGATTTAAAATGAATATCCAGCTGACACAGAGAGGATTTTTTATGTATAATTTTTTATTAAAAGAAGATTTTACAAAGATTTAAAAAACTACAGAAACATAGAAGAAGAAATAGAAAAAAAAGAGATTATAAAAGGGTAAAAGAAAAAGGGAAGAATACAAAAAAGCAAGAAAAAGGTATCTAAAGAAGTGACTTCCAGTCTTCTTTTTAGCAGTTACAAACATAGCAATTACTATCTCCACCCTCCCATATTGCATATTATAGTTCTGTTCTTCCCATAAACAAACCAAAAATCAGCAGTTCATTTTTATACATTTTCAGCAAAAAATCTATAAAGGGTTTCCAGTATTTTATAAAAGTAGTTGTAGTGACCTCCTTAATCAAACAAGTCGATTTAGCCATTTCTGCAAACTTCAGCCATCTTCACAATCCATTCTTCTGTTGTCAGACACAGAGTTTTTTTAATTATTATAAGACTGTTTACTTTAAAAAAATGTCTAAGTCCAA